GGGCCATTACTCCGGAGACCCTCGGAACCTGCTGTGTTTTTGCTGCTTGTTTTTTGTGTTTGTTTTGTTGTTGAGATGAGACACAAAAGCGCCTTCGCCCCTTGTGCTCACTCTCTTCTAGCACCCATCAAATCAAAGCCTGACCAGGGAGTCAGTTGATACGAACATCTACCTACATTTCTCTTTCCAAAGCTCGCTCGGGCCTACCGATCTCACAGCAGTGTAGACCAACCTCTGTGATAGAACGGTGACAGCAGTGTAACCTCTGTGGTAGGCTACAAAGTCTACGAGCTACAGCAGCACCGCCTCCTCCGCTGCTGCAGGACGCCACATTCTGTGACTTAATTTTTTTTTTATCGCGAGAAGGGTCCAGCCTTCCGTTTCCCTCGTCAACGGTGCTAACGTCGAAGTTTGGTACTCACGAGAGCTTTTTAGCTAAATTTCGCTTTCACCCGCAAATTTCGTAAAATTTCCACCCCATAGGGATTCGAACTCACGACCTCTGCGACTAGCGGATTACGAGGATACCACTAGACCACCGGGGCGACCGGTCTTTAAAATGAGGATGTTGGTTCCAAGTATTTGACTCCAAATATTTGGAAACATTGGAACAGAAATAACAACATATTGGTGAAATTGAGAGCGAAGCATCTGATTGAGAGCGAGATTGCGCGATGCGCTGCAGCTGGACTACTGCTGAGAGGTGGCGCTTGCTGTGTAGCTTGAACTGAAGGGCCAGCCCGTAGCTACAAGTAGATACCCTGGTCATCCTGTGGGAGTCTCTCGATGTGGAGTTACAGCGGCGAGCAGAAGCTACAGCAGAGCCCACCTCCCGAGACCATACCGCCCTGCAACAGTTTGAGGCAGGAATAGCCAATCTGGGGAAATCTAGCAACTTGTCTACACCTGTAGCTATTCGGCTAGTCTAGCAGGGTGGCCAATAAACCACCCAGCCAGGGTACCCTACCTTGTCAACGACAGATGGGTGCACCGCCTGCAGGGTCTTTTATAGACACCCTGGACAGGGTCCACCCTGCCAGGGTGGCCCGAATTGCACCCTGTAAGCAACCTGCGGCAGCAATTGTGTGTGGTGTGCTGTTTTGCACTCTGTTTGTTCGTGGTTGTCGATGGCTTGTGAGCATACTCCTCCGGGTTCATCGCGAACGATCCTGGTTTTCATGCCATGTCGTCGCTCAATCGTACAGCACCAACGCCGACACGATTATCACGTGCATCCTCTGCACAGATCGACTCGACATCCTGCCAACAGTCATTTCTGCGTCAGGGTCGAATCCACGTAAAGAAGAATGTTAAGAATGTTAAGAGTGTGCCTGATGCTCCTCACAGAACCCAAAAAACATCACGCAAATGCAATGGTGGGGCTCACAACCTCAACCTGATTGCCACATTTTCAACGGAATGTGAATGTGCACGTCATGTCCATGACGTGCACCAAGCAAATCAGGACGCATGGTGAGCCACACGCTCGACGATGATCCAAGAAAACACGGAAAAGAAAACAAATAGTTCCAACCACCAAAAAACTGCACTCCATGCCCCTAGGTCCACGTAACTAGTCTGGCATGTACACGCTCCGACCGACACTTTATTGTGCGTACAGACTAAAAACTCCATGAGTTCATCAAGCTCGACCGAACCTACTTGGCCCCTTGTCCGCGAAGCACCTCATTACGTGAGGTGTCCCTACCCCCGGCGACACGGAGGAACATTTCTGCGTTGTGTGTGCCACGTCCAGGGTACGCCGGCGCGTATCGATCCCCAAGCGCTTCACAGGTTGCTCGAAAAGGAACAGAGTGACGAAATATTTTTACTGCCGAACGCGACAAAAAAACTGTTCCCCACAGCAAGCGCTACGCCCGAGAACATTTGCCAGCAATTCCGCGACCCAGCAGATGCTGAGCTTGTGAAGGGCCAATCAACAACAACGATCAGTTCATCTCGTCGAGATATGCGCCGAGATCGGAGTCTCCACCTTCGGCCGGGGTCTCCTCCACGACGAGGTTGTCGTTGCCGCCGGCGTGTGGGGACAGGAAGCGCATGATCTTGGGGTTCCCGTAGTCCGACTTGGGGATGGTCAGGATTCCCGAGGCGATGCGACGCGGGCCCGTCATGAACTGGAGCATGGAGTACCAGAATCTGGTCCGAAAATCACGTGGGGAAAGGGAAGGCATAGGTAGGCAACATGAGAAAAAGTTGATGTATGGCTCAAGGATCAACGAAAACTTGTTTCGGCAGATGGAGTGACAGGCACAAGCGTATGACGAGCATAACAACACACGAATGCCTTGTATTCCCTGACGACAACAGCACAAGAGTAGGAGGTCGGGGATAACAACATATTCGCCTGATTGAGAGCGTAGCATCTGATTGAGAGCGAGATTGCGCGATACGCTGTAGCCGGACTACCACTGAGAGGTGGCGCTTGCTGTGTAGCTTGAATTGAAGGGCTAGCCCGTAGCTTCAAGCCGCTACCCTGGTCATCCTGTGGGAGTCTCTCGTTGTGGAGCTACAGCGGGGAGCAGAAGCTACAGCAGAGCCCACCGCCCGACGCGATACCGCCCTGAAACAGTTTGAGCAGAAATAGCCAATCTGGGCAAATCTAGCAACTTGTCTAGCTCCTCGCTGCAGCATCCGATGACGATGACACGCATATGCTCGCGAAGCTGCTGATGAGACCTTCAATTTGCACCGCTTCTTGGAATAGCCCGTCCCCTACTTGCCAAGAAATGGCAAGAGGCGTCTGGACCCGAAATTTCAATTTTTTTGGCTCTCGCTCTCAATTAGATACTTCGCTCTCAATCAGGCGAATATGTTGTTGGATATAAAAACAAAGAGAAACTACCCCCGGAGCGAATCTATCGGGGAATTCCGGAACTTGCAGAAATACAGCATTTGCACCAAACAATACTTCGGAACACGACAAACACGTGACGAAAAAACAGGGCTTGGAGAAGCGTGCTAGCTGACGATATCGAAAGTTCACAAACTTCGGTGAAGATGACACGGCAGTCGGTATTCAAGATTTTTGGCAACACTGTCGTGAAGTTTCCTGCGTTTACCACGGGGTGGGAGGGTGGGGGGGANGCACTCACAGCATGCTTCATGTCACGCACATGTTACCTGCTCCTTCAAATCAAACCAGCAGGACCGCTGACTCTTGACGTGCACAAAGTTGTTGACGGCTCCAGCCTACATATTGCGAGAAAAAACAAGAACTAACTACCGTGCGACCCTCAATGGAGAATCCCACACCCCGATTTGGCAACGTCGGCCAGAAAAAAAAATAGACGGGTACGCGGTTCTTGGCTTCATGCTCAACCACAAGGAGCTCATTTCACCACAAGTCAGAATTGGAGAAAATCCGCCCGGCAAATAGCTGACGGAGACATACACAACCCAACATCAGTTGGGGTTGAAGACTGGTCGGTTCGACAAAACTACTTTTCCTGGAATGCCTTCGCGTTTGTGGAGCTGTACCCGCCGTTGGAAAGCCTCGCCCACGCCCTCGCTTTCCTCGTGCACTTGCACACGACGCTCTCGAGTGAGCCGATCTCCGCCACCGGGAGGGCAGCGATGTCTTTCGCCGCGTGCAGCAGCGCCGGCGTGACCACCTGGTGTGTAACATGACGCGAGCAGGCAGGGGGGTATAGGTCGTCTGCGCAACATCGTAGTCATTTTTGCGGCGTGGTGACAGACGGAGTCAAGTTGTGCTGCCGAACGGTGCGGTGCTACTGACGAGTGCATGCATCTGGAAACATGTAACCTTGCAGTGCGTGTACCGTGCTGCTGCTTCCTACGGATATTACGTGCGATGCAATCGGAGCTTTCGTACATGCTCGTACATGCTGAGGAGGTGAGGTAGATGTTCATGTCTCTACATTGACCTGCTGCCCGCTGGAGCTTTCTCTTACAACGTGAGTGGGGTGGCATACTCGCCACATGACGCGGTGAAGCAAGGTATTAATTGCCTGCAACATTGGAGCAAAACCGGGCGAAGAGGTTGCAATAAATCACACGAAAGTATCTGATCGTAGTGGTTAATGGGAACGTTGTGCAATCGATAAGGTGAGTTGTAGACAAGAATTCGCGTACGTTAGTCTTTTAAAACATTGTCACATGGCCTTTCCTTACGATGTGCGAGTGGCACGAAAAATGTGGGCGGAAGCATGTCGTGACTAGGCCCGCACGATTCTATGACGTGGCATATCTACGTTGGAGTTCTACGTACAAGTTATGATCTTCAGGCATGTGTACCTCGGCAGCGGGGTCGATGTCCGCGACCTGCTCGCGGACCCCACGCAGGAGGTCGGCGGCGGTCCGCGGGTTGTTCGTGGCCGCCTCTTCTTTGATCATAGGGATCAAAAAGTTCACGAGGGCGCCGCGCACATCACCGTGCAGCTCTGAGCGGGCCGCAACGACGGCCTTTATGATGACCGCTGTGGTCACGGAGAGAGGGCGGCAGAAAGCAGCACTGTGAGGATATTCCTCGCCCACAACACTCTCGGACCCCGGGCTAGAATAGCACCGGGCGAGCGGTTACTTGAACGCCGGAGTGACCCCGGGACACGTATGGAGCTGCCGCGCGGAACTTTTTGCGGCAGTTGGGTATCACTTCTGATCGGTGCAGCGCAACTACTTGAAACTCAGTACTCCTCCAACACCCTATCGACGAACCGGGGGAGCGACGGGTAGGTGGTGACATAAACCCTAGTGCAGGAGAACACCTTGCAACAGCAATAGAACAGTGTCGGCATCCCCGTCCATGAGTCCTGCCGCCAAAGTGCGGAGAGGGTGGCGGCACGTAGGGATAGGGTGTGCACGGAGGTTGTTACCAAGATTATTCGAACAGAATTAAAAGGTANCGACGAACCGGGGGAGCGACGGGTAGGTGGTGACATAAACCCTAGTGCAGGAGAACACCTTGCAACAGCAATAGAACAGTGTCGGCATCCCCGTCCATGAGTCCTGCCGCCAAAGTGCGGAGAGGGTGGCGGCACGTAGGGATAGGGTGTGCACGGAGGTTGTTACCAAGATTATTCGAACAGAATTAAAAGGTATCGGGCATTACTGTCTCTGTGTACGAGTTTTTCACGTGTTGCACCTCAAATAGAATTGTGTTTGTTTAACAACCGACCGACGACCAATGTAGGGTGCTCCAAAAAAAGGTGACATATCCGACGACTTGCAATGCGGAGTTCATCGAGAACGGATAGAGTTGCGGTTGCAGCGGCAACGAACTCAAATCGCGCCATTTTGTTGTCGAAAGGCCCTCATCGTACACAATTCATCATTGTCTTCCGTAAACCGCGGCGGGTACAACCGGGGAACGCCCAGACTATACAAGTATGAGTCGGATACACGAAACAACCGCTTCCATTCATCACGCATCTGCTCTGTTTTTATTTTGTCCCGTACGTATCTGTCGCGGGGGTCTTATTCCGGCTCTTCTCGTCAAACGTTGTGTTGGGAGTAGCTACAATGTCTGGTCCACATACACATGTATGTACCACACACCCATAACCGGCATAGCAAATACTCAAAGGCAACATTGGGGCCGACACAAACGTTCGTGCGTTGCAACCGAAATCATAGTTCATTATTTTTGTTTGGGGAACGCATTACTGTTTGTCTTTGTCTTCAGAGTATTGCTGTAGGGAGGAACAAGATCTCGCGTCGCGGTCAGAACGGAGTCTGAGGAATTTTGACTACCGAATGAAGTACACATTGGGGACAAATGCAACGTTCGCGCGCCTTTGCGCAACATCGAATTTTAACCGGTGGATGTGGACTACACAACAAAGAAGGTGCTCAAGACCTTCATCGGTGATCACCGCTTTTGGGCACGGCGATTCTCAGAATATCATGTGCGCCAACACGACGGCGCACTGCTCAAACCTGTAATTGCTGCGGCAGGAAATATACTTGCTGCAGCTACGCATCGGATACATGCTCCGATCCTACTTTTATCTCTGTGTTAGCATAGCATATGCATTCTAGAATCATGAAGAGATGAACATGTTTTTTTTTTTAGCATGCTGCACGCAAGGGTAGAAACACAACTCGCGTGGTCAAGTAAGCAAGCGCAGGCGAACTCTCAATCTACCATCGGTGGGTTTTTAGACCGCAGAACCTCCTCCTCTTCGAGACCGACTTGCGTCGGCCCGCGCCCTTGGTCTTGGCCACCGGCTCCTTGCTGTTTGTACGGGATGCCGCAGCCTTGGCCGTCCTCCCTCTGGGTTGATGGTTGTTGACGTCGACGGCGCTGAGAGGTGACGCAGAGGTCGTTCGGGAAACAGCGCGGTGAGACATCGCAGTAGCAGTATAAGTTGGCGCACGAAGGAGGGAGACGAAAGGGGAGGGCGAAGAAGGTTGTGGCAAGTGTGGGCTGCTGTGTGTGTGATGGTGTTGTGGCGAAAATTGAAAAAAAAAAAAG